ACATTTATCCATTTTAAATATACTAACCTCACTTCTTTGTTGCAACTAAGGCAAAAATGTAATTAATTCAGAAAATCTTTTCAGGACACCTTGATGTTTAGGGACCCCACTTTGGGTCTCGACCCCAACTTTGGGAAACACTGCTTTAAACAACACTGGCTAATCCATCCAATATGAGTCTGGCCTAATTTTTACAGTCCGGCCAACCCAGCGTTTTATTTTGAAAGCACTAAGCGGAAGTTGCGCTGGTAACCATGTCGGACTTGGCGCAGCTTCTGTGGTAACAGACTCCGAACARAAGCGACTGAAGTGCAGCAACTGGTTCGTGGCTCCGCCGGTCGGTCGGTGCAGCTGCTGGCTGACAGCTCAATAACTGAGGCGGATCCCCGCGGCTCTCCGGCTGCCTCCACATCTTTCTGCAGGCTTTCACCTTTTTTTGTTTTTTGTTTTCGTCAATGGCAAGCCCGGCTGCAGACACAGGACAGTCTCATCAGCATCACCCTGGGACGGAGTCGGCCGCAGACTCTGCGTTTCAGGAGGCGCAGAAGTGGATAGAGGTGAGTTAAATGTGGTCTTATTAGACGCAGGTGTTTAGGTGAAATTTAAACAACTGCCTCGTCATCTGTTAAAATGATTTAAAAAATAAAGAGTTTTTAAATGGGTTCCCAAAATGTTGCCTTTTAAAACTTGCACTGATAAATAAAGGCTAATCTCACTGTTTCCAGACACTGTCAGTAGGGTTTRTGTTTGAGGACCAGTGTTCAGCGGCTGTTTGCAGAAACCTGCTGCATGTTTGGCTGAAAACAATGAATGCATCATGTGGAATGGATTTTTGCCTCATTGCAAGCTGGGTGAACAGAATTCACACAAGCGACGTTTTGTTCTGAGAGAATTTCAATCACGACAGTGGCCAGGCCCCATTTTTTTATTTTGAGTTTGTCATCCTTGCAGTGAGCTGTCCTCTCCTCTCCTCAACCTCTCAAACACTTCTGTCTGCTGCTGAAATATTCATAGTTTTACAAAACGTGAAGAGTCTGTTTCAGGACTTTTTGTTAATAATTCAGTGACTAGGGCCACTTGTTTTCAGTTTRTTGCTCGCTGATTACTGACCTCATACAGCGTTTATCTTTTAAGCACTGTCCCTTTTTTATAATCTGGATTAAAAACTAAAATTCCATCTGCCGAATGCCACATGTTGAAAATCTGTTGTTGCGTTTAATTTAAACAGGAGATAACTGTATTAATCTGCAGGTAAAACTGCAGGAAAATGATGCTCAAAAACATCCCTGTTTAGTAGAAACATTGTGAATTCAAGGCATGTTTTGATGGAGTTGCAGCAGAGCAGAGTTTGTAATGAATTCTGTGCATGAAGATGACTTTTCCTTCTCATATTGGACTGTAGTTTAGGGCAGTGTTTCCCAAAGTTGGGGTCGGGACCCAAAGTGGGGTCCCGAAACATCAAGGTGGGGTCCTGAAAAGATTTTCTGAATTAAT